TTTTTTAATTCTTTTGCAAGGGGAAGCTTAACACTCGGTGTTTTGGTAATTTGTGCGTGATTCCCAGGAATTTATTGCAATCGCATTTTTCTCGATGCAAACAATCACTTTCCCGAAAAAGTGCAGTTTGCTGCAGATAAATGAAATGTTGCCCAACTAATGTGGGTATTAGGGCTCGTTGCACAAGTAATATTGAAAGCTCAAGTGGAGGAAATATATGTTGCATCACGTATATAACGTACGAAACATCGTATCCTGATGCGTATCACGCCATTGGACAAGCAATTGGCTGGATATCGTGACGGACCGGCAGTATCAAAAAAGTCAAACAGCTGGACCAAATTATCGGTCGTAAGAAGGTCGAGTACTTATATTTCTAGAATTTTAACCGGTAGAGGAGAAGGGCGCGAGCATCTCATGATTTTTCCATTCGCAAGTCCAGCTGCAAAGGGTCGCGCGGAGAAAAGGGAGAGAGAGCCAAAGCGCACAAAAGTCCTTTGCAGCGGGCCTTGGAGTTTAATTCCAGTTCGCCATTTCTTTGTGAAATGTAATACGGGAAGTCAATTGCAGGCGAGCCAGCAAGTATAGGTACATGGCGGGGGACAAAGAATAGAAAACGAGAGCTGCGCACGAAGAAAAAAAGAAAAAAAACAAAAACAAAAAAAAAAAGTTTTTTTACGAGGGGAGAGAGTTGTCGATGAAGGATAAAGAGCCCCTTGTTCGGGGCCCCGTAATATATAGAAAATACGCCCTTCTGCCCTTTCTTCGTTGTTTCTTCTACTTTTATTTCCGAAACTCCTTCTTTTCTCCCACTCCGTTGTTCTACGCACCCGCAATTTCTTTGTTGTGCGACACTCGAAATCTTAGCTTTGGAATTTCTTTCTTTCCCCCCCCCCCCCTCATCGAGAGTGAGTATCGGGATTAGAAAGTGCACGCCGGCACATTAGGGCACAACGAAGATTGTTCCATTTTTGAAAATCGTTACTGTGCCACACTAATTTACTACAAGGAGAGTCGCGACGATTACGAGATCGTTTCGAAATGAGACTCCCGATGTATAATTATACGTACGCGAGAGAAAAATGATGGAGCGCGTGTGCACGAGCGAGTCATCCTCGTTGTTTGCGAGAAGCACGCGTTCCCGGTGCTGTACTTACTCCTGCGCGTAATCACACGTATTTGCAAAAACATCCGTCTCTCGCCGTATGTTTGTTCTACGTGCGATTGCAAGAGCTTCTTTTTTTCTTTCGTTCCGAGCGTAAAACGTATAAAAAAAAAAAAAAACACGGCGTATCTATCAATTTTTACTTAAACGCAAAACACTTTTTTCCCCTCCAACCTGAATGCATTACATTCGCGCAATTTCGAATGTTAATTAGTTTGCTGTGTAAATATACGTTCATTTTAATATGAAGGGTGAGTATAGCAGAAGCAATTTTGACTCGGAGTTTTTTCCTTCCACAGGTTGCAGAGCAATTTGTGTCAAAAGTAACGTTCACCACTGAGGTCTGAATCAAATATTGTTGAGGAAACAATTTTTTTTTTTTTCTTATGTACTTGTATGCTCTCGAGCTCAAGAGGCTTTTTTGAAGTGGCGTTCGGAGGTATATGCAAACCGAAAAATCAACAGACCCGAGCATACAAGCACGTCACTCTTATATGTATCCGCACGCGTGTCCAATCAACTCCGTCGCTGATGACAAAATTAATATGGAACGTCCTGAGCAGAAATACCAAGTGACATTGGGACTTGCTTCGCCCACAGCAGCAGGACTTAATTAGGACCCCGTCGTTGTCATACCCTCGAGAGAGAGAGAGAGAGAGAGAGGGTCCGCGTGCGAGTGATGAGTCGAAAGCTGCTATGGAATTAAAAGGCATGCGGAGATCCATTCGGGCACGGCACATCCCATTACATATTTATCGTTCGCTCCGCAGGCGACTATACCTAGGTACAGCTTGTACTTCATTGTTGCGGACCCTCGTTCTCTGTCAGCTCGAATTTCATTTCCCTGCATTTACTTACGTCGTAATTTACAATATACTTGCAGGTGAGGTAAAGTTACTGCCTGTTGTGATGGCACGATTTCGGGCAAAAAAACTGCCCAATCTTTCCCAATAATACTATAGTTTTTGAATGTAATTTTAATGGTGGATAATTGTTTTATAAGCAAATATATTACACGGGCGACAACACGACAAAATCCTGCGCCCTGTGGGCTCTATACGTATGCTCCGAGGGCGAGGGTTAGTTTGGTGCTTAGCGAACGTGTGCGGTGTGTATGGCAATCGTTTTTTTTTTTTTTTTTTTTTATTTTTAACTATGCGTCTCTCTGTCCGGGAGAGCGATAAAATCATTTAATGTAAAATGAGAGGTTTATCTTTTTGTTTTGGCAATCATCTCATCTTTTGGAAATCGTAGAATGATACCTTGCGTAAATGAGCGTAAGATGAAAAAATCGAAAATTACAAAACAACTCTCGGGTTTCATCCACATTTTCTCTCAATGTGGTAAGGTTTCTGGTCAATATATACGTATGTTATTAAGAGTATATATAGCTTTCATGGATTTGTTTTCGCTGCCTCAACGAGAGGGAAGAAGCAAATTACTACCTGCTGTTTAGCAATTTTAATGAATATAATTATCTCGATAAGCTGTATAACGATGAATGTATGGGGAAATTGTTTTTGAAAAGCCTTGGAGGGGGAAAAAAGTATTCATGATCAACCGAATCTGAAGAACCCACTGCTGTTGCTGAAAGTGAAGGAACGCATCGTCCCCGGTGTATGTATGTACATATGCGTTTGGACGTAACGAGAACTACCGTTATAGATCGCGATACGCACGCAAGTCGGATTTCAATTTTCCCCTTATTTAGATGGCGATATCGAAAAATTTGCGGGCAGTTTATTCGATAGCAATTATGACTATTGGTACTCGAACGCTTTTNTATAAATGAAGAATAAATATAATCTAATAAAATTATAATGAACAAAAACTCGTAAGGTTATTACATAAGTATATAAAGATATCTTACAAACGAGGCAGTAAACCAGACTCGATATACCACTCGCTCTTTTCCAAATTCAAAAGAAAAACAAACAGAAAAGCTTTAAAGTTGTTTAGATTAGAAAGATCGAACGTAGATTGACCAAGGTCATTCAGAAGAAGCGATGCTTGCACTATGAATGAGCGTATCATTGTCTCAGTCCTAAAAAATGATCCGATAGTACATAACGATAAATATCGTACTTGCACATGACATTATAGGAACTCTTATTTTATCAATTAATATGGGAACCAAATTTATTAATCTGTTTTGATCAAGCAGTGGGGAAACATTTTACTTTTGCGCTTATAAGTTCAAACAATCTAAAATAATGATGCTGTAGTTGTCCGTTTCAGAAACCGATGGTGTATTTTGTAACTGCAACAATATCTGATGTATATTTTTTGTACGGATTGTAATAAGAAATACATGCATGTAATATATTCTATTTTGGTCTAACTTTAACGAAAAAAAAAAAAAAAAAATGAAATTTGGAACCGGAAGATTAATCATCGTCACAGTTTTTGTTGGTACTGTGGGGGTAAAAATAGAGAAGCGAATCATATAGGTACAAGAGCCATGAGAACATTTTTCTGAATCCTGTGACCGGAAATGTGAACGTACGTGACACTTTTCGTGATACAAGCTGTGCACACCAGACCTTAACTTTGACATTGGGCTCGGAATCATGACGAGAATCGACTACATTGTTCGAATGGTGCAGTAGCTCGAACAAGTTGATTCGAGAGGGCAATGTGTGTTCCTACTGTTTACAGAAGCCTCGTATTGTTACACACTCACACGACTTGAAAATTCGGACTTGTGTGAATCGCGTATCAGTTCAACCAAGCTTGATTTCTTTTGTTGTGTATGAGGCAAAGGTTAAAAAAATGTTTCAACCAACGCTACACGTTATATGTACAAGTAATTCAGTAGAACTACCTGGTGACATGAACTTTGGAAAATGTTTTCTTATGTCTAAAAATAAAAGAAGCAACGGTATAAGACTCCAATGCGCTGTTGTTCGTGAATAATAGCAAATAATTGAAATACGTCTAATTAAATAAATAAGCAATTCTACAATGCTTGTATAAAAACATAAATACAGATACATCGTCACCTCATGTAGGTAGTATCGGTGTACTGTAGCAAAAAATAAATTTAAATCCTAAGGGCCTAGGTATATAGTATATATAATAATTGTACACTCGGAGCAGAATTTTTTCAGATCTACCGCATAGAAATTGTATCCCAGACCAATAGCAAGAGTGTCCAGCACGTTCTGCTTGAGTACCACCTCCCCCACATTTCCAATGGAATAATTTTTGTTATTATTTGTAATAATCAATAAAATAGGTTTTTATTATTACATAACAAAGAATTTCTTCCTCACGAAGAAGGGGTATTTAATTAGTTAAATGTTAATTGTCAAAACAATTTTTTGCTCCATATAGTATATGTTATAGATATATGTGTAATTAACTGATAAATTGACTGAAGAAATATCTAATTAAAAAATGATTTTACACAGAGTTGATATTGAAATATTAAACATGTAAAA